CCTTTCCCTACGATATTCCACATACAACCACAAATCACCATGGGAAATTGTGAGAACTCATCTGCAAGCATTTACTCTCTAACCTCAGACAAACACTGAAGATTGCTTAACTAAATTAATATTTTACACCAGTGTTCACACTAGAAAGGTTAGATGACATCCCATCACCCACGCAAATATTTCAAGGAGGTGAAGAGAATGAATTTAGGAATATAACCAAAACATATGGCATAATCAGGAAGAACACTGACAAACTAAAAGATTCTAAAGCCCCAGGTGTGGATGGAATACCATCCAGAGTCATAAAGGAACTGGCAGAAGAACTATACCTACCACTGAAATTACTTTTCACAAAGTCTCTGGACCAAGGGATAGTAACCCCTAAATTGGAAACATGCAAATGTCACCTCTATTTTTAAAAAGAGGAGAAAGAACTCGGCAGAGAACTACCGTCCAATCAGCCTTGACATCACACATCTGCAAGCTCATGGAGAAATTCCTAAGGGAGGGAATTATTCACCATCTTTCAGTGAACAATCTCGTAAAATCAACACAAGATGGGTTTGTTAAATAAATAGATCCTGCCTTACAAACTTCCTCACATTTTGCAAACGGTAACCAGCTACTCAGACAAGGGACTTCCAGTTGGTCTAGTATACAGTACGGTACATGGATTTTGCTAAAGCCTTTGATAAGGTATCATATGAAAGACTGGCAAAGAAATTACAGTCACATAGAATAAATGGAAGAATACTAGAATAGATAAAACAATGGTTAAAACAAAGAAAACAAAGAGTGGTGCTAAATGGGAATGAATCTGATTGGAGAAATGTGGTAAGTGGGGTACCACAGGAGCCCATTTTGGGGCCAACCCTTTTTGTCATAGCCGTAGCAGCCGTCTAACTCCCAGGTACCTATTTACTGCTAGGTAACAGGGGCATCAGGGTGAAAAACTTTTTGCCCATTTGTCTCCGCCTCCACCGGGGATCAAACCCGGAACCTCAGAACTACGAATCCGAAGCGCTGTCCACGCAGCTGTCAGGCGCCCCTGGACATACAGTAGATGAGAATATTACAAAACACATCATCAAATCTGCAGATGACACAAGATTTGTGGGAAATGATAATGATGTTGAAGCCTTACAAAGAGATCTACAGGAACTTCACAAATGGTCAGAAGACTGGCAAATGCTTTTTAATATTGACAGATGCAAGACCTTGCATTTGGGGGCATAACAATCCCTGCCACAACCACTAAATTTGAAACATTACAGCAGATTGATTTAAAAAAAAGGATCTTTGAGTCAAAATCCACCACTCGATAAAAGTTGCATGGCAGGTAGAGGCAGCAGTAAAAAAAAACCTAACCAAACACTTGAAATAATCAAGCGTAACTTTGACTTCAAGGAAAAGAAGGTAGTGATTCAATTGTATCTCTGGTGTATTTGGATTAGTGTATCAGTTTCAAGCTCAACAAGCCACAATGTAGAACTGAGAACAGGAGATGTTGTTTCACCCACAGGGTTATTAACCCATGGAACCGCCTACCCGCCGAAGCCAAAAATGCCAAAACTCTGTCAACCTTTAAAGTACAGCTGGAAAAGATCAAGGAAAAGGGGAGGACCTTCAACAAGCCACTGGCTTCCTGTCCTCGTTGAGGCCACTAGTGTTAGTGGCTCTCAGGTAATGTATAATGTATAACTTGTGTAATGCATAACCCACATTAAGATAACCAATCAATCAGTTTTAATTGTATAACACATTGATTTTTGTATCTAGAAATGACAATACGTACTGCAAGACTCTCCATTATTACAAATATTTGGCAGAGTAGTTTCCATCAATATTGTAAGGTGGCAGACCTTAAAGCCTATCTAATGTTGACTTATGGCTACTCTATGTATAATAATATTAACCTTAGTGATAAATGCATGGTCCTATTACAATAGCAATAAATCATTTGCTTACCGAATGTCCAGAACATATTGAAACTATGAGGACACCCTTTCAAAATCATAGATAAAAGGCATTGCTCAGGATAACTATTTTTAAATGAAATCAATCATTGAATGTACAGGTACAGTACAAAGATATTATGCACAGTATATTCAGTTTTATAAAATGCATCACATTTATTCCCAAGATTTAATTAATAATAGTGGTGCAGTTGTAAGACACTCACCCCGCGCTTTGCAAGCGATTTGGCATGGGTTCGTATCCTGGCCGGAGAGGATTGGCTAGGTGCCAATCCTTAACTGTATGTATTTGTTCACTTTAGCAGTGAATGGGTACCTAGTTGTTAAGCGATTTGGGGGTCATATTCAAGGGAAAATTAAGATGAAGGACCTGCCCGAAATGCTATGCATGCTAGTGGCTTTACAAGAATGTAAGAACTCTTGTATGCATAAATAACAAAGCAAAATAGTGCCGCAATGTTTGTGACCTGGTTAGGTTTATGCACTAGTACTGTAAATTCAATTTTCACCTTATCTGTTTAATGTTGTATGCAGCAGTGCTGGAAGTATGTGATACTGATGCTCTTATGTTAGGGGACAGATAGTCTGTTGGGCTTAAGGTCACCCTAGACAAAAGATTGATCTTTCCAGGATGCAACCCACAACAGCTGCCTAACTCCCAGGTACCTATTGACTGCTAGGTGAACAGAGGCACTAAGTGAAAGGAAACATGCCCAAATGTCTAGTCCACTGCATGAAAATCAAACTCTGGACAATATGGTTAAAGTTGACTGTAATGATTATTGCACTACAGTGGTGCAAGTGTAATCAATAATGTATGCTGGCAATACTGCAAGCCTCTCTAATGATAAATTATGATCTACATGTTTGTGTCACTGGTGCTAGCAGGAAATAATAGAAACATCTCTAAATGTTTATGTATATTACACAAAATTATACTTTTGTGTCAAGCATTCAAAGCTTCAAGCTTCAATACTCCTGCTTCTGGTGTAGCAACTCTTCCCTTGCTATGGCTATATAATACACAAATCTAAGTTTAACAAGTGGTTAATGTTTTCAAGAAATGTACTTGGCATTAACTGTAAAATCATATATCCAAAATTACTGAGGGATGTGCTAATAGTGGATAAGTTTAATACCTGAATGTTTTTAGTTGTTAAATAGTATAAATACCAAAACAGTTTTTGTATATAATCAATTGTATTCTTTTATTACTAAATTAGAATTTGGCTATACATTATAAAAAAAAGTTCTATATACTCCAACTACAGTATATGGGCTAACATTTATGTCCTGAATAACCAAGTGAATAAAATTTAACATGCTACTGTTATTTATTTATACCTAAAATTTTACGATAAAAGACACTAACTGAATATACAATACAATATCTTATAGATACTGTACATATAAATAAGATATATACATATCTTATTTCTTGTACAACTACTGTAGTTACAAATGTTGGAGAGTAAGAAGATTAAAACCTAAATTCTGGGTCACCAGCTCCATCTGAAGCACATCTTGAAACAACCACAGTGCCTCAACACTCGGCTGTGGGTGTCATAACAACCCACTGAAGACCCCAGGGAGCCCATAGAGTTGTCGGTACTGAGAACAGAGGCTGGGTGGGGTGTGGATAGTACGGAGAACAGAGGCTAGGTAGTGTGTAAATGGTATGGAGAACAGAGGCTAGGTGGGGTGTGGATGGTATGGAGAACAGAGGCTAGGTAGTGTGTGGATGGTATAGAGAACAGAGGCTAGGTGGGTGTGGACGGTACAGAGAACAGGCTAGGTGGGGTGTGTATGGTATAGAGAACAGACTAGGTAGGGTGTGGAGAGTATTGAGAACAGACTAGGTAGGGTGTGGAGAGTATTGAGAACAGACTAGGTAGGGTGTGGAGAGTATTGAGAACAGACTAGGTAGGGTGTGGACAGTATTGAGAACAGACTAGGTAGGGTGTGGACAGTATGGAAAACAGAGGCAAGATGGGGTGTGGACGGTACGGAGAACAGGCTAGGTGGGATGTGGATGGTACGGAGAACAGAGGCTAGGTGGGGTATGGACGGTACGGAGAACAGAGGGTAGGTGGGGTGTGGACGATACGGAGAACAGAGGCTAGGTAGGTGTGGACGGTACGGAGAACAGGCTAGGTGGGTGTGGACGGTACGGAGAACAGGCTAGGTGGGTGTGGACGGTACGGAGAACAGAGGCTAGGTGGGTGTGGACGGTATGGAGAACAGAGGCTAGGTGGGATGTGGATGGTACGGAGAACAGAGGGTAGGTGGGGTATGGACGGTACGGAGAACAGAGGGTAGGTGGGGTGTGGACGATACGGAGAACAGAGGCTAGGTAGGTGTGGACAGTATGGAGAACAGAGGCTAGGTGGGGTATGGACGGTACGGAGAACAGAGGGTAGGTGGGGTGTGGACGGTATGGAGAACAGAGGCTAGGTGGGTGTGGACAGTATGGAGAACAGAGGCTAGGTGGGGTGTGCTAGGACCTTAGTATCTTCATAGACATTTGACAAATTTCCCTAAACCCTGTGCCATTGTTCACCAAATAGTACTTAGACGGCTGTTGTGGGTGAGAGGGGGAACCTGACCTTAACAACAGAATGGGGGTGTGTAAATTACGCCCAGATACCTTATCAGGGGCAATTGTGCCCGACACCAAGAATGAAGAATTGATTAGTAGCGATCATCATATTTAACACGAAGGTAACATTGAAAATGTCTAATGACTAGCGAGTTTTTATTTGTTTGATACTCTAATATTGCTAGGCAATGACTACTAGGTGCACTAAAGCTGCAACGAAATGGTGGTCACGTAAAGATAGTGAAATCGAGGAACAAGACACTTTACTATACACGCAAGTTGTTTCTAACATAAATGAACACTCCCTTATCTTGTTTCCGCAATCCACCTACATATTGCTGGCAGTGCTGACAAGCAGTGGGGTGAAGTTATAAGGGGGTTTAGAATGTTACCTTCGCCTCCCTCTCCCATCCCACGGTACCCACCGCTCAGCAAACTGGAAGGCAGGAAACCCGCCCTGGAGGACATCCAGGCTGGCGGCCTTGGCCAGCGCCTCTTATCGCACCTCATAACCACAGTCTAACTCCCTGCGCCAATTTCCATTTCCCGACCTGAATATAAAGAAGCCACCTCCAATTGGTTATTTGTAGTGACCCGTTCTACACCACCAGACAGCCTTCTACACCACCAGACAGCCTTCTACACCAAATAGATAGTTAAAAACTCCCAGTGAAGGGATTTGTTATCTACGATCCTCTCACGTGACTAGTCCTTGTCATTTACGTTAACATTGTGAATAACACACGCACTAGACACCTAAGATAATGTTTCTCAACTGTGTACTCACCTAGTTGCTGTGTGCGCTGCGCCTTCTGAAATTTAGACTTTCCAGTCAGACAAGCACATGATGTGGTTTGTGCTGTTTAGGAACATTTTAAATAACTTTGAAGTGAATTTCACCGAGTAAATGCTATTTAGATCAAATTTATGCTATACATCACGGAAATAACTTACTAATTTTCTCACTAAAACATAACAAATTCTAATTACAAAATATAGCCTATTTTATGTTGAAACCAAATTGTGTTAACAGCTAGACAACATGCAATTTATGGTCTTTAATTGTGTCCGAATTTAGCAAGACAACACAATAAATTTGTACGGATAGCTCCATTACCTTCCCATGACACTTACAGTAATGTATCACAGCCCATGTTTCACAGAGTGGCTGTTAAAAGCCCATCCTCCTAAAGAAATAGCTTTTACAGCAACCATTTTGTCGAACGTACAAAAATGAACCGTTGCTACCAAAAATTTTCACGTTTTGTACTATTAATTTTGTACAGGGCAGGTTAAAATACGTACCAAACCTTTCTAAGCCTAGTTTAGCACATATGTTCTCTAATAGGCCTACGATTGCCTGGCCAGGTTAAGTTTTTAACTTTTTAGTATGTCATTTGGGCCGTGAAAGTTAATGTAAGTGGATTAGTATGAATGTAGATAATTTATTATGCATCACAAACTCATCCTGCGAGCGGTAGAGGGAACAAATAGTTACAGAGCACATAACTGATTCAGGATTAGTTTATGGGACGCAAGATTATGTTAACTGCTGGTGATAAACAAGGCAGTCATGAAGGGAATAACAATAATACCCTTAATAGGAGTAAATAATAATAATAATAATAATAATAATAATAAAATAAATTAATCTACATGGCAAGCAGACCATTGTGAATATAGACCGAAACAGGTTACTGGAACTTTAAGAACAAGAGGTCATAGATTTAAACTAGCTAAACACAAATGCCGAAGAAATATAAGAAAATTCACTTTCGCAAACAGAGTGGTAGACGGTTGGAACAAGTTAGGGGAGAAGGTGGTGGAGGCCAAGACCGTCAGTAGTTTCAAAGCGTTATATGACAAAGAGTGCTGGGAAGACGGGACACCACGAGCGTAGCTCTCATCCTGTAACTACACTTAGGTAATTACACTTAGGTAATTACACACACACGCGCGCGCCCACGAAGTCCAAAGATGCTGCCTGGTACTCTGGTGGCTGTGTTGCCAGGTACTCTGGTGGCTGTGTTGCCAGGTACTCTGGTGGCTGTGTTGCCAGGTACTCTGGTGGCTGTGTTGCCAGGTACTCTGGTGGCTGTGTTGCCTGGTACTCTGGTGGCTGTGTTGCCAGGTACTCTGGTGGCTGTGTTGCCAGGTACTCTGGTGGCTGTGTTGCCAGGTACTCTGGTGGCTGTGTTGCCAGGTACTCTGGTGGCTGTGTTGCCAGGTACTCTGGTGGCTGTGTTGCCTGGTACTCTGGTGGCTGTGTTGCCTGGTACTCTGGTGGCTGTGTTGCCTGGTACTCTGGTGGCTGTGTTGCCTGGTACTCTGGTGGCTGTGTTGCCTGGTACTCTGGTGGCTGTGTTGCCTGGTACTCTGGTGGCTGTGTTGCCTGGTACTCTGGTGGCTGTGTTGCCTGGTACTCTGGTGGCTGTGTTGCCAGGTACTCTGGTGGCTGTGTTGCCTGGTACTCTGGTGGCTGTGTTGCCTGGTACTCTGGTGACTGTGTTGCCTGGTACTCTGGTGGCTGTGTTGCCTGGTATTCTGGTGGCTGTGTTGCCTGGTACTCTGGTGGCTGTGTTGCCAGGTACTCTGGTGGCTGTGTTGCCAGGTACTCTGATGGCTGTGCTGCCTGGTACTCTGGTGGCTGTGTTGCCAGGTACTCTGGTGGTTGTGCTGCCAGGTACTCTGGTAGCAGTGCTGCCTGGTATTCTAGTATACTTGTACTCCCACACCCAGGGGCTTCTTATGGGCTATTCATGCCCATGCCACCTCTTGGGTGGCTTAATCTTCATCAATCAATCATACCCAAGAGCTTCTATCTTTATCAATCACCATCATCTGCAGTCCTCTGCTGCTCTTGGATTGGATTGGGGCTTCCACGGACCCCATCCCCAGATCTCCAGTATCAGCTATTGATACAAATAATGGCTCCAAAGAGCCTCCACTTACGGGCTCACCATAGCCGTGCTACTTGGAACTTTTTGTTCGCAGTAGCTGAATCTAAAACCACCACCAGCGCCCCAGGGCTCCAGTTCATCTCGTCCGCTCAGCGCTATTCACACCTGTTTTTTTTTAAACGCCCACATAACCGCCCTCCTTGTTTTCAGGGTCTTCCGGGTATCAATTTCCCTGCTTTTATGGGAGGGGGGAAGGTCTGCCGGAACCCCCCCCCCCTCCCCATGGTGTAACCCATCTTACTATTATGTCTCTTGTGGTCTTCACTTTCTTCAAATCTCAACTTCCTTAGCTGGGCCTGCTAATGATTGATTGATGAAGATTAAGCCACCCAAAAGGTGGCACGGGCATGAATAGCCCGTAAGTGGTGGCCCTTTTGAGCCATTACCAGTATCAAGAGCTGATACTGGAGATCTGTGGAGGTGCGACTGCACCCTGCGTGACGGGAGATGTCTCTCGTGGGCCTGCTAAGCCAATGTTGTTCTTATATCGTGTCCTTTTGGACAGTAATTGGCAACTGCCATTTTACGCTAGAAGCCTACACTCATTTATTGTATCCACTGTTATACAGCGTTTGTTTAACTTATTCTTTATGTTTATTACTAATTTCATATTGTTAAACCATGTAAACATTATGGCATTTACTTGCTACACGTTTTGTATCACTTACAATTATTACTGTTAGCAAGGTAAAATAAAATAAAATTTTCAAAACCACTTTTTGGCTTTTGCTTAAACCTCCGAAATTATGTTTTCTAGGGTAGTTTCCACTGGGCATGTCTGTCTGTCTCAGTATGATTGCCGGCTTCTGTACTGAAGACCGATAAGGGCGCGTCCCCTCACACTGGCTGGCCTCCCCGCCCCCCACACCTTAGCTCATGAAATTTCTCGTCTTAATTAATAAATTATATTTATCTGTACTGTTTGATCTAATTCCACAACTGACTGTATGTTCAGTCATGACGCTGTGGAATACAGCCTCACCTGCGTCGTTAGTTACTGTATATACAACACTAAACCATTATTTAAATATCGATAATATAACCAAAGTCATCAAAGAAACACAGAGGCCAGCGGGAACTCTTAGACAAGGTCGCCTCGTCGAAGTTACTGCGCAACTATTTTGATCCTTCAAGATAAACGCCTCGCCCGCATGTGTCTTGTTACCTAACACCTTGCCTAATGAGGTGATGCGCCTCACCATCTGGGAGGCGACAGGAACACACTACCTCCTCCCTCTCAGAGCAGTCGGCTTAACTATAGCCTAACGGACACGAATTCGGTTCTCCCTCATTGTAAAATGATGGCTTCAGATAGCCATTTTTGCTTTCAAGATGGTTTTTGTACTAAATAGATTTGTTACGAAAGTGATTTCCGAATGTATTTACAGGCACACGCTTGTGAGGGTGTGTAGCCGAGCACCCGGAGGTCCAAGCAAAGAACTTGTACTAATACTGCAGTACCCCAGTTACAGCCCCGCTCCTGTGCCAGGTAAGTCCACTACGGGATCACCATAGCCCGTGCTACTTGCAACTTTTTGTTCCCAGTAGCTGAATCTAAAATAAACTCCTGCAGTACCCCATGCCCCAAACGTCAGCATTTATGCACACAACGCAGGTCCCTACGGAGGATATTCTTAACGTAACTATAATGGAAGACAATAGGTTCCTTCTCCAGACGACGCCAACACTGATGAACCAACTAGCTGCAATATATCTCACATTTTAATACGAGTGTAGCGAGTAGATTATCCCAATAATATACTCGCTCCAAATGCATTGTTAATATTCCTGTCAACCTTTGGAGATGAATGAGGTGAGGCATTGCCCGGGCAATATGGTGAGGAGTTGCCCGGGCATATAAGCAGCAGGATTGCAAACATTAAAGCAGAGTCTACTTTCAAGTGTGGTCTAGAGCAGACACTTGCGAGATACTGTACCAACGCTCAGTGCGCTCAACTCACACCAACGTATCACCTGTGTACTTCTGTATATTCGACCAAATATATATATAGTATCTTAGTGTCTGTGTTTATTTGTTACCATACTTTACGTAACAATAGAACCGTTACATTGGTGACCCCAGAGAGTTTCGACGATACCCAGCCACGATGGACTACAACATGGACTCTCACTGGACCTCCACTGCTGCTGCTTGCTGTGGACCGCAGCCACCTGTCATGGAACGTTGCCAACACCCTTGCCATAGCTATGATTTTCATCGCGATCGTCTCTGCATTTTCATCTACTACGGCTTGCTGCTCCACGATCACTACTCACTCATCTGGCAGCTTCATCAGTAACTACATAATGTGTGATCTACAGCCTGTCCTGCCGACTCTCCGTCGCTGCCAGGGCACTGCTTGTTCTACAGGGGCGCCCACGAAAGCTGCTCTTTCGTCAGATTCATCTACACGTTCACTGCATTCTGATACTCTGCCGACTCAAGCACTTTGCGCAGTACAGGACTTACAGCTTGCGTTTCCGACTCTTCGTCGCCTCCAGGACAATTCAGCTCTAGCAGTGATTACCTCGTTGTCCTAAACTACGTGCCTACATTACCTCCTAATGTCCTGGTGCCCGAGCCCATCCGCCCCGGATCTAAATGCTCCACCAGCGACCCAAGGACGCAACAATTATGCACATTCTTCTCTCCTGC